GCAATACATTTGAGACATTAAAAAGAAGAATATATTTGTAAAATCTCAGCGAATGAGTTTTAAGTAAATCCAACGTTTCGCCTGGCAATCTGGTCCAAGCTTTTTCAAGGAAAATTATATTATTATATTATATTTTAATGTCTCAAATTAACTCGGCGCCCAAATATTGTGAAACTATTCGTTCAAATTTAGACGAAAGTTCTTATTTATTAAATGGCAATACATTTGTTATAAATTAATATTTTATTCACAGTTTATATTATTTAAAATCAAACATAGGCATTTTCTAGACTCAGATCAAGAACATATTACGTTCAACTGAATATCATCACCTTCGATACACAAAACTTCTTACGTAAAAAAAATTGGTGTACATACTATTCAGTTGTGTTATTACGAAGTTTTTGGTCATTTGAAAAGAATTTTTAACGAGAAAAGTTGACGTTTCAAATATGCGTATCTAATAAACAGGATCTTGGGGATTAATACAAGCGCTTAACACAGAGAATGTAAAATATTCATTATATTATTGTATCATATTACAGATCAGGTTATTCTATATGACTTAATTGACTATTTAGCCAGAATCATAGATAATAATGGCACTAATTTCAGCTATTGAGTTAACTGGAGTAAGGTAGATGGAGCTATGTCATTAGTTGTTTAAGAAGTGAACTAATAACTATTAGTTTTTAAGTTTAAACCACAATTTAATTTCATTTGTTTAAGCACTTGGATACCGCCTTATTTTCAGTGTTTCTAAATTTTGGAATCCCTTATCTCAACCATATTTTATAATGCTAGTTTTTGAAATGACAAATTGTTAGTTTACAATCTCGAGTCGCTAGGCTCTTGTTGCCATGTAGGTACTTCAGTGGTTCCGTGGATATTACTTTTGATATTATCTTGACATAACTATGTAGCAGTTAATACCAGTAGAATTCAGGAAAAAGGTTTTTACATTTTCGGCTCATCAACCCCAATGAATGGTGGTGTCGGACGAGATAAATATTCTAAGTTATTTCGCTAGCCGAAACGTGTATACATAAACACAATGACCTTGCAATTAAATCACAGAAATTTCCATGGACCATTCACAACCGATATATGTCGAATAAGTTGGTAATTAAGATAACATTTTAGCGTGAAATTGTATGTGCTGGATTCGAGGTCTGACTGAGACACAATTATGAATTCAGTCCACAGACATCAAATGGTACGTTGTTTGTCACCAAGAATCTACCACTGATCACTCACTATCAAAGAACCACACAGCTACTAGTTCCCTTTGTTTCTTTCTAAAGCAAATAGAGACAATCTCTGGTTGGTAACACCATTTTTCTGTTTTCATATAGGATATATAGTTAAAACTCGTCAGCATGAAAATGAAAATGTCAAACAATGAATAAATCCAATCCAATTGGTCATAAATGGAGGCAAACAAAATAGACCGACTATTCACTTAATTTATTCAATCGTTATAGGTAATACTGATTTTGTAAATGGGATTCGCAGCCATGTTGCACTTTGTACGCAAAGCACACTAAACATAAAAAGGAACTACAATATAACCATTTATGTAGTGAAAACGTGATAAATCATACATACAACTACAAAGTTGATGTGAACTTATCTACTTCGATAATATCAATATTTATACAATTTACGTGGAAAACATTTTCAACGAAAATTTATACTGTGACGTAGTACAGTTTATGTTTAAATCCTTATAGAACTATTATTTGAATAATAATGATAAACAAATACGGTTGAACACTGGATAAGCTGTTTATATTGTCAGCCAAACAACGAAGCTGATCGAAAACAGTCTCGTAGCTAAGTGTCATGTAATTTATTTAAAACACTAAAACAGATGGGTTTCAATCCAATTTAGACCAAGGGTCTGATTTTCGTTTGACAGACATTAAAACCAATTTTGGATGCTACTGAATGATTTAAACAAAAGCCAATTACTAATCCTCATGGACGAAGATATCTCAGAAGCTGCTCCTAACTTATTGACGCATTCTAAACGATTTAGAATTATTTGGAAGATGAATTAAGTAAATTTGGTAAAGTCAATTAGCTCTTAAGAATCGAATTAAAGAGCTTTTAGTACTGTGATCAAGATTATAATTTAATTATTTCGACCTACTTCAGTTCGATTAGTTTACATAAATGAACTACTCACACACATAAATGCATCACTAACCCACAAAATTAGAAACCTGTCCCTTTTGTATATCCATGACGTAAGAGCACCAGTTATTAACTCCAATACACTAGATTTACAACGGTTTATTCGTGATCATCGTCAGTTTACGTTTGTTCAAAAGTATATGAAGAACTCGTGGGTGTCATATTTCAGAAATGATACATGGACGCTAGCTCGAATATTCTAGTTTGATTACGATTATACTGAATTTTGAAAAGGCAGAACTCGCAACATTGAATTATCAAATATATCCCACCGCAGGTTTTTGCACTGTCAGTAATCGGTTATCTACATAACACAGCATGAAATGCAAGGGATATTATCAGAAAGTCACTGGCCAACATCAAACTCGACTGTTTCTAGTTGGCCAAAGTAGAAATTATTTGTTGCTAGACGCTGCTCTCAACCAAATTAAGAAACAGAAACCGAGTTCCACCACACCACGGTGAGAATCCCGCTGTTAATATTAGCAACACCATCCAAAACTATGGTTCATATGTTCGGATGTTCTACTCCTTTATTGGACGAATTGAATGAAACAAATAACGGTGAGCTAAAACAAGTAGCGAAGTAAATTGAGTCAAGCTTACGAAAAGTTTAAAACCATAATATCAGTCGTGGAATTGGACTCCACTAAAATGAACTATCTCGCTGTCAGGGATTAGCCAGACATGAGATTTAAAAGTACCTTTGAAAATAAGAGGTTGATTCTCATTCAATAAGATAACATGTTTCGACTATAAATCAGATGTATTTAGAAAGCAAAGGTCTATCTTCTGAATTCAGGAACAAAGTTCTACTCAAGTTTCTCCAGATTAGTCGAGGATAATATACAGAATTTAAGAGAAAACAATAGGACCCCACAAAAATCCCAAGTTAGATAAAAGGATTCTGGGTTTTCAACTCGACAGCGTAACAACAAACCTTCCTCCCTAATGCCTTTAACTTTTAATAAGTCTGTTATCAATAACAGCAACTCACTAACTAATGAATTTAATAATTACAAATTTCTATAACCTTTAAATTCTGTAGTCCAAAACAAAAGCATTTGTACTTAAGGAATTCAAATCGGAATAGGTACAGCAACACTGACCATGTTACTGAAGCCAGGAAACTTAGATTGCTTCAAACTTTCTTTACCCCCAAAAATTCTGAATAAATAAGGACAAGTGTTTTAAAATATTTCGTACATTTAAAATCAATAATAATGGTTAAATCAATGTGACATTATTTTGAATGAAATAGGGCAATGATTTCCTAAAAGAAAGTTGGACATAAGATTGTCGATGAAAACTTTATGATTATATATTTGACCAGATCGTATTATTAAAACATGATTTTTGAAAAGCCAAAAAATAAAGTCATATCCAAATACAAGAGGTCTTTAAAAGCAGTCAAAAGCAGATTTGGAGAAGAGTAATGTAAAGTAAAACCAAGTAGAAAACTCGTCGATATTAACAATTATGAAATGTAAGCATTTATTTGAAACCATTGTTTTAATCCTGGATACAGATTTACAGATATAGTGAGGATAAAAGGTAAGATATTTGAACAGAATTTTAATAATAGCTCAGTAAAGAAAGAAATTAACTGAATACAATTGTTTGTACCAAACGTGTGTATGTAGCATACATTGATCGCTTTGTTGATGAATACCACTAAATAAGAAAGAAAACGTAACAATGTAAATCATATCGAAGACTATGTCACTAGAAAGCAAAACTTACAAAAAACTAACAAAATGAGCACTAATAAAAGTAACTACCGCGTGAAACACATTAACAAATTAACATTCTAAACAGTTTATTTTGCTCTTTATAATAACACTAGTAACATGCATTGTATGAGATTAAATAGAAGTAAAAAACTATCAAAATTATCAAATGGACAGATTTTGGGAGCGTTCGACTCAAATGCGATACATGCAAGTAAATCGAATGCTGCTACTACTTATACTATGATGTCTACGTAAATGCCACAATTAAGACATCCAATAACTTTGATGCCTGTCAGGAGACAAAATTAATACCAAGTCAGGGACAAGTTTCGTTACGTTGTGATTTAAATTTTACCACAAAATCCTTGCTAAATAATACCTGGCGCATAAAGTTAGGCGATATTGTCCTCAAAGTGCGCCTTTTGGAAATATTCTGTGTAACGTTTATTGTTGTCGATTGATTCCATGACAGCCTAGTATATCAAAATGGAGCGGAGACTGTGATCTTTTAAATGGGGTCATTTCCCAATAACTGGATTACTTGATCGTAAGTTTTGTTATGAAAATGTCACTATTCATTGACTTGTGACTGACGTACAATGCAATCCCCCAACCTATCACGTTTATCTCAATATATTCTAAACAAACCAACCACTTATTCACTCACGCCAGAAATATTTCGGGAAGTAACAATGTGGTAGCGATGTTACAGCTTTTTTCAGCAAGGTAAATAAAGAAGCATGTCTTCGGACAGGTCTCCTTATGATCTAACAGCATTATTCATTTATAATTTATGTATTTATTAAATTATCACATTTAGTAATCCAAAGTAATTAATGCGCTTCAGGTGTATAAATTTAGAAATAGATAAATAATCAAAACAGTAATCTCACCTAGTATTATTATGTGATATGACCGGAACGTCCGGATGCATGTAGAAAACAATTAGTAAGACAATATCCAAAAGAAAAAGACAATCAATTTTATTACAGAGGGGTGAAAAATATTTGACTTGTAAGATGAACTGTAAAGTTGCTTAACAAAATAGATGTAAACAATGTCATGCTCTTAGTAATCATTAGATACCATCACTGAGTTTTTTGTTTCATAATGAAATCCATTAACTTCAGAATGTCCGTTAATCAGTTCCAGATTTGCTAGCTTAGACTGGATTACGTTATCAACATATCCATCGGCATTGTTGCAATCCACACCATTCACCTACACAATCAGAAACAGAAATAAAGTATTCATAGTAATAAAAACGATAGTTTTATTCAATGTGACATATTCGTATGCTGTATGAAATTTTTGGGACGAAATATGATTAGAGAAATGACAATGTTGTGAGCACGCAACACATCGACACTTTTGTACAACGAAAGAAATTACATGAAAAACCAGCAAATTGTAGCTCACAACGGACTATTCTGATTTCATAAATTACATACTTTCACTAAAGACTGACGTATTAAATTATTAGGGGTTTAAGTAACCTGGAAAGGTTTGGTATGCTTTATAGTCCATAATAAGTAATTATAAAAGAATTTTATAGTACAGTACAATGCTTGCGATTTGTTGCGAATCTAGAACTAGCTGGATTGAATTCGCAGGACCATGCCAAGCAATGCCAGGAGATACGTCAGAGGATGTAGTTCAATGATACTTTCGTTGTAATCATTGAAGGTTCACTAGTTTTGTGATTAGGCATAAGTAATTGTGATTTATAATACGAAAACTTGGAAAAAAACAAGACAAAACAAAGAAAAAAGATTTACTTCTTCATGTGCATGAACACCATTTACCAGAACATCTTCAGATTTGTCTATACTTTCGTTTACAGGTTCACCATTTACATAAGATTCATTGACACAAGAACTGACATGTGAAATTTCTACCTCGGAGAGTGATTCCTAAAATATAATTCAGGAAATTAATACAAATTTTGTAAAGGAAAAGCATAAATTGGTTTTCTTAAGACATTACTAACTGAACTGGAGCAATCAATCAAAATAAAGGGAAACTGGACTACGGTAGGAGTAAATATAGAGTTTTAATTTAGATTTACTTTCTACAACATTAGTGTAAACAACAAATATTTTGAAAGAGAAATAAAATTACCCTTAGGTCGAATGATATTAAGATAATGAACTAGATCTCTTATCACTGAATTTTATTTCACATACACTATGCTGCTGACTGTCAAGAAATCTGAGACAGGAAAAATCAATGTAGGTATTAGATGAATGGTTTAAACTGATGTATAAAAATGATTACTCACTACAAGTAAAACAATACAAAGTTTGGAAATAAAAAAACAGGTTTTGTGAACAATGTTTTCAATTCAGTGTAGCACACTAAATGCAGCTTTACCGTAACACATACCAAGTAATACACACAAAGTATTCCAGTATTAGGCTCGCATATTCGTACAATCATATAATATTATTTGATCAAAACTCAACTAAACAATCCTTAACTTCAGAATACTCACAAATCGACTATATTTCAAATAATATAAGCTAACAATCACTAGGTGTGGTTTATAGCCTAATACATTGACATGTGATAGTTGAGTTGTATGCGTTTTATTTTACGGTAAAAAAAAAATAAATGCACTCACTTGAGTATCATTTTTTGTCTCAGTGTGACTATAATTTTCTTCATACGGTCTCACTTCACAGACTTGGATTTCTTCCAAACGAGTTTGAGTGGCAGAAATGATAACATCTTGAACTAGGTTGTCTGCAACTAGTAGGACAGGACTATCTGGAGTGGGATCCACATTACTATTTGCTGTGCACTCAGGAGATTGTGCTTCAGTTGTGGTAACTTCTTGTTTCTCGTCATTATTAGTATCCTCGGGTTTTTCACAAGTGTTGTCGGTTGAGTGTTTTTTAAGATTAGAGCCTTTTCTGGATATACGTCGTAAAATTCGTGATATCGGGTTTCCTTTCTTGGTCCGTTTTGCATCTTCATTCTGTGGGACGTCTGACTTCGTCACATCGCCGTTTGCCTGTTCATGGTTTTCTTCTTCCGGGGAACACCTCTCTTTGTGACCATTTTCGAGCTTAACATCATCTGTGTGCTAGAAATAAAGCAATTCAGCGAAGTACTTTTAATTATTGGTACAAAGCTGGCCGATTGCTGTAGCAAATAAGTATTAAAACAGATCGATGACTTAGAGCAGATAATGTGACACTGAAATATGAGCTGCCATTACTGGAACATTTTAATCGATAGGATAAATTCGCTAATTAAAAGTCAGTGACAAAAAATTTCTACTTGTTATACAAATTTAAATACTAGGCGTAAAATTCAGTACTACTTATTGTCAGAATAGGGACTAAGCAAGCACATTAAGCGACAAAGTTTAGACAAACTGTCCAAAGTAACAATATTAGCAACTACTGTTTATACATTTAATCCCCATAAAGCGGAAAAAATTTTGAAGCCTCAAAGACAAGCGTACCTCCGTAACCTCATCTATACAGGGGACATCTGGACCAGCTGTGACAACTCCATTTAAAAGCTAATTGATTAGTAGATGAGAAAACAAGAAAAAAATCACCAGGATATACTAGCGAATTGGTAAAGCAAAGACAAGGACATGCATTTTAAAACGAATTTGTAAGGATATTGTGAAACAGGCTGCATATACTTACTTGAACTGACTGTTCGCTATCCAACGCTTTAACTTGCTCAACAGCATCCTGAAAAAACAGCGGAGAAATATGAACGAGAAATTTAGGGATAATTAAGTTGTATTTAACTGAAAGAGAACATGTAGATTTCGAATAAGATGCAACTTTTCATAATCACTTTTAAGCCATATTTTCGTGTGAGCTAGTGACTAATACTCAGTTGCTTAGACCAAACACGGAGATGAATTGAACCTTGGATCCAATAGTTGGAATTCGATGGCACTATGACTGCAAAACTACAGTAATGTAATCGACAGACATCTATCGGACAATTCTAAATCCTTGATATCCATGTGCAGTTATTAGGCCACAAATGCATTATACATTGCCCTTTTTATAAAGGGATCTCAAACTTTTACGAAAATATATTGAGTCCAATTTCAGATACTCGTCAGTCAGTCAGCTACAACGTAGGACCAGGTACATATATTCATCAATCCAAGTTGTCACACGTCATTAGCACAACAAGATGAACACCAAATTCATAGCAGTTACCTCATGTTAGCAATAGATAAAACAATATTGCATATAAAAATATGATACAGGGAGAAAGAATTAATTAGTGACTTTATGGACTAATGCTACGTTTTGACCGCCCCCAACTTCCAAAAGTCTCCAACACTAGTCAGCAATGCGCGTCGTGGCAATCGGTGGTTGGGTATATGTAATACGTAGACTAATCATCTCAGTCGATGAAGATTTACAACCTCATCAACTGATTTACCATCATTCCTTAATACTCTGCGCCTAACCTCACTATTACATACCCGGTGATCCAAGCAGATACGAGCAATACTTCGAAGACATCTATGATCAAATACTAGTAACCTCTACCCTTAATGGCCACGTTTCGCAGCCGTAAAGAATAACAGAGCGAACTGCTGCGCGGTGTACTCGTCCTTTAATTGACAGATGGATATCTTGCCTTCGCTATTGGTGACGTGAGTTGGCAAAAGCTAGTCGTCAGGCACCGACCCATTATGATTGATCAAACGTGTTCGGTTACTTCACTCCCTAACTTTAGTTCAAGTGCTGACGCAGGCCAGTCCTGAGGCAACAACTTGCATTTCGAGGGGGAGAAACGCATCCCAAACATTCTGGCATTGTTAGTCAGTGTCACAGAAAGACTGAATTTTATCAGCATCTTTACCAAACAGGACTATTATCTGCGTGTCATAAGTCGATAAGTGGACCTCCTAGGAGATCAATTACTGAAAATTCAGAAGACGAGAATATTATTTTCAGCAGATCTATGATGAAGCTAAACAAAAATGAAGACAGTGGACAACCTCGCCGAATACCAATTGAGGTTGAAAAATCAGATGACAGTTCGCTATAAGCTCTGACTCGACCAGCAGTGTTCGAGTAAAGAGCCTTCACAAGGTTTATGTCCTTTGAGGCACACCTTTCATTAATAGACTGCCACAGAACGTCTCGGTCTACAGAGTCAAATGCTGCGGACGCCGATAAGCAAGCACGTGTTCTAAAATTTGACGAATGGTGAATATGTGGTCTATGCAGCCATCAGATACTGGTCATTTTCAACTGTTAAGGAATTAAAACTAACTAGAGACACCAATCGAAACTAAATATGATGATGGTAACAACACACAGGCAGGGACACTAACGTCGGCAGAAAAAAGTAATAATGAGATGTATTTAGACCGGATAAGATACACAGTTATTTTAACAAGCCGATTGGGAGTATGTATTTACCATACTAAAACTTATTTGGAACAGACAGATGATAGATCGGTATATGAAAAACTTGAATTTTTTGGAAGTATTGAAAATGTAGTTAGCAAGTTACTAGGGGAAACTGAGAACAGATGGATTTAGTCTTTAAGGAAACGTCAATTAATCTTATTTGTATATTTATCTTAGTATTGCTCATACACAAGCTTTGGAAATCAGCTAATCGATCACAAAATAATCTCATTTATAAGGCATTATCAGCAGACAGGAAACAAGACTGACATTGGAATAGCGAAACATGAAATACGATTGCAGCAAAATAGATCCAGCATAGCCGTTAATTGTTTTAGTATCTACTTGGTTGTAAGTGAGAATAGCATAACAGTTACGCACTGATCCACATTAATATTGATTGATGAGAGACCAGGAGAATATCAAGAATTTATCAAGATATTATCAAAGATTACTTGGCTATTTCATACATATTAAAGTGAATCACCAAGGAGCAATTAAACGCTATCGGTGTTACACAAGCACTGGTAACGTCATTTTGAGTAAAGATGTATTTTACTTAATTATAAGGCATGTTTGATGTGGTAAAAATTCCTGATCTACCATATCCAGAAGTGAGAAAAAAATAAGGATGAAACCCACAGATCAGAAGTTTATATGGAGATACGGAAACTATAATATTAGCTTAACCTTAAACTTACTAGAGGTCAATTATGTGAGCGCTGACACAACACATTATTAAATAGGATTACTGACAAGATTATTAGCAATACAGAAATCTGGTAGTTGATAACAATTCAAATACCTGTTCCTTTCGTATACTATAATATCAATGTTATTCGTGATACTACTTCAGACGTCAAATACGGAAGTTTCCACACTGCATCAACGCAGAAAGAGACCAGGGGGAAGGACAAGTACAGGCAATTACAGGAAGTGAATAAGACATTACGGACAGATAAGATTGAGATAACTTATGGATCTGAATTACTACAACTGATTTGAAGGCATACCAGTTACTTTTATTGTTTTCACTCCGTACAGGGGAATGTGAACCAAATAAGAATTTGCTTTCCTTAGAAATTACATCGGGTCAAAAAGTGGTGTTTTCGTCAAGCTTGTTACACTACAATGTTAAGCGCATAATTCGATAACATTTGTGAGTAGTCGCAAAGATAACCTTCAAACAAAAACGTTATTTCACTTCTACGGCAAAATTAGGAACATTTGTCTTTTGGAATTTCTACACACAACTAAGTCGTAAAACTCACTAGTGTTCTCTATGGAGATTGTCACCAATTTTCCTCACGTACGTTGATCATAATTAAAACCTTTCAGTTATTTTGTGTCGCAAGTGATAGTTTGGATCGCTAAATTACAGTTCATACACTCAGAGGACTAGATTTTGGAGCTAAAATGTTGTAAATAGACTTTAACAGTGGGATGCTCTGTTGAGTATACTTAAATACTGACCAAGTGCTAAATTCCAGATATTACAGTTTGTTCTTTGATAAAACTATCATAGTAACAGAATATGACTTCGGAACTATGTTTAAACAATAAGGCCGTACGAAGTTTTGAAAATCAGCAATACATAAGGCTGTTTACAGTAAGACTCATTATTCTGCTCATACATCCCAGAGAGAGATAAACCTAAGTGGATAATTTCAAGAAGCTACTAAGTTAGTTTCGTGTTTGTCAAAAAAATGAAACAAAAGACTGTTACTTACAGGTTTACGAAGACTGTCTTCGGTCTTCTCTGCTGTATGAGGTACCACGAACTTGCCTGATCTCCCACCCATATTCCACGTGAAAATCTGCCTGAGCGTAAACTTGCAAATATGTAAATACTTTCCGTGCTATTCTGCTATGCAATGCGAAAGCCACACTGACCAATAACCTTTATCCGACATCGTTATCACTAGTCTAAAATGACTCAGACTCCTAAGTACAATCTGATTGGTTTAATAGCCAAGGCTTGATTGCTAATTCAACATTACTTTTTTCCATAGTAGGGGGGGGCGAGTCTAAACCAATAAGAAAGAAGTAAGTATTTGTGACGGTCTGAATCAATGACCTGTTTTCTAATTGTCCAATAAAAGTGAAGGATATTTGAGAGACAGGCTTAGTAATGTTGCTTTGTTCTATCGGCATTATTCTGCTACTAGCCTGGTCTAAAACAGGATAGAACAAACAATCATAAATAAAGTTGAACCCGAGTGAGACACGTCATTCTTAAACCATCTGACCAGTTGGCTCTAAAATATATATCCAACTCCTCAGTTGTGCAGTGGGTAGTGTGTGTCATAAGTAGTCGCTCTTTAAGTTATTACGTGTCTTGATTCACACTTCGTGACTAGAACTTCCTAAAACCACCAAAATGTTTTACGAGTGGGACTTGTCTCCGTGATTAACTTGCTTGCTGCAATGCAAAACTTATCTATAGCTCTCCCGTCTTAACAGACTTCACCAAAAGATTAATATTAAGTGTCTAATGTTTTAAAAATTACTTCGTGGTACACGTTTATCGTATGTGCACCTCAATGTGAAATTAAATCGAAACCCCTGAGTACTGAGACGATTTTCGTTTTGGCTCATATCACTTAGGGAAACTGCGGAATCCGTACTTCACTCCTTCCATGAGTATCCTTGATGTCTGTTCGTAAGATTTGGACTAGTTTGCACTTCTCATGAGCTTAGGGTCTTGTTGGTTAAACTAGCAATATAAACTCTAAACTCAAATTGCGAATGCCTACGATTTCCGAAGTCGCGCATTAAATATCACTAGAAATAATTAATTATATTCCTAGTACTGTTGTGGGCTAGAATGACCCAAATAGTCAAATCGGATCAGATTATTAACACGCATCTAGGAGTATGTGGTGGACTTCTAAGGGACCACACAGAATTGTGTAATATTCAGTCTGCCCATACAAAAAGCACTGAGTTGTGGGTTATTTTGGTTTTTGAGGAAAAAGAACTAGGTGGAAACCAATCAAGATTTAACTATTCAAGCACTGCGGGAGTTGTAAAAAGAATTCTCCCAGTGATATAACAATGGATTCGTATGTGCAGTTAGGATAAAATTCCCTACATGACAAAGACTAGTGACATCTAGAGACTACAACTTCGACTTTATCCAAATCCCAGTAGTAATAAGAATACTGAACATTCAAACTGGACTTGATAACTGCTTAACAGAGGATGTGGTAGTATATACTGTACATAAGTGGGTCTCAAACTCCTTCAAAAACTTGAAGCATTATATTTCAAATAAAATGTAGCTTCTAAAATGACTTTCAGGACTTAGTTCAAAATGTATGGAAATAAATAACGGTACCACAACTCAAAACAACGTTTTATATTGTTTTTTAACACTGTCAAAATCATAATTACTGAGATGGAATAGTGTGTTGGGTCTCATAGACGACTGCCGAGCGGCACCAAAAACATGTTTATCAGCGATTCCATGCACTGATTTTGCGCTCTGATGAATGTATTACAAAATCAACCCCTCAACAGTTGGGATAAAACATTTAGATCACTAGCAAACGAGATATTCATTGATACTTCTGAATAACTAGGAGTTAGTCTGTGTTGCTTTAGTTTACGAATACTGATGCTATGGGACTTGAAGTATCTGATAGTAGTTGACATCACAACAAAGTGCCAAACTATACAGTTGATCTTAAGTGACTCATTCTATGTAAGGTCAAAAGAGTTTCTGGGTTCTGTAAGAAATTCAAATCACACATCAAGTGTGGATACACAGATATAATCAAGTATAAGCCAGTACTTGTTTACATTTAACCTCAGTTCCTCGACGACCCTAAGTTTACTATGTAGTTTGGGACAGAAAATGCGAAAACCTTGTCAATAGGTAGTACCATGAGATTGGTTAACATTTCATAGATGAAAAAAATCAATAATGCTCAAACTTTGGAAATGGAATTTTAAGTGAAACCTAATTCTAACGAGTCTTGAGTGATAAATGATACCACTTGTATTGCTCGAAATAATAGGGTTCAAACGAACAAAGAACCAACAATTAGCGTTTTTTCATTAGGGAGGAAACAAGCAGGATTGACAAATCGATATGGATGTTTTTAATCAACATAAACCTCGTTTGCAGTGGCTTACTTTTTGTGTACATTGGGTTACATCAGGTTACCGGTACAACATTGGATTTGCGTGAGAAATTACTTTCACTTCCAATGTACTGGTTGTAAATTATACATGAAGGGAACATTGTAAACCAGTGTTATTTTCAAAGTTTCACAATCTCATCTAATTTCATATAAAATCTTGAAGTCAACAGTTATCTAGATTATTCCATATTTTTGCGATTCAAATCTATCCATCGATGTAGTCACTCATGTTCCCGAAATCCTATTCGATGTAACGAGTGGTACACAGATCTAGAAAAAGGAATATTATGTATTTAACACAATTGCCAGGGTCTGTTTAAAACGTACTCATGGCTACCAATTGTCCAGGTGATAAAGAAAGTGAAAGCCTCGTAAATATAAGAAATAGTGGAATGTAATTATCTATAAAGTAATTATCATTTCGCAAAAACACAAAACGATATTCAAAATGGTACAGAAACACTATAGTAAAGTATCTCAACTTATGCATTTATTGTTAAAAGGAGGCTATTCACATTAGTCTATCAAGTTCTGTATCGTCTCCAGAGACAGATAGTTGCATAGACTTATTCGATGCACATCAAGAATACTATATAGCAACTCGATCTTTATTAAAACCTTTCGAGTTAGGGGACGTTCACAAATTAGCAAAATGTTTTGTTTTTATGAACAGAGAAAGGTTTTAGTAAATTATTCACTTAAAACCCACATTTTGTCCACAGGTAAATGTTGAGCAAACAAAAGAGTACAGAAGCTTTGATCTATGAATATTACATGTTAATTTCTGTCAAGAGACTGTGGTCTCAGATTTTCCTAGAAATTTTGAAACCTCTACAAACTCAAGCAGTCCTAAGTACCCTCTGTAAGAGAGCGAAGTTTTAATATTCCTGGATTTATCATATGCAGTACAATTAATAGTTATATATTGTTTATCAGTAGATAAGTCTCACAGAAAAATAAAATTTCAAGTAATCATCAAATTATTGTCAATAAATAGAAAACTGCTGGAAGATGTAGAATCCTTCACATACCTGGGAAGCATCATCGATGAACAAGGAGGTTCAGATGCAGACGTAAAGGCGAGGATCGGCAAAGCAATGGCCGCATTCCTACAATTGAAGAACATATGGAACTCAAAACAACTGCAAACCAATACCAAAGTCACAATCTTCAATACGAACGTCAAGGCAGTTCTACTGTACGGAGCTGAAACTTGGAGAACTACAACAACCATCATCAAACATGTACAAGTATTTATAAATAGTTGTCTACGCAAGATACTCAACATCCATTGGCCGGATACCATCAGCAATAGCCTTCTGTGGGAGAGAACAAACCAACTTCCAGCTGAAGAGGAAATTAGGAAAAGACGATGGAAATGGATAGGACATACATTACGCAAATCGTCAAACTGCATCACGAGGCAAACCCTAACTTGGAATCCTGAAGGGAAGCGAAAAAGAGGAAGGTCAAAGAACCCATTACGTCGGGAACTAGAAGCAGATATGAAAAGTATGAATAACAACTGGAAGGAGCTAGAAAGGATTGCCCAGGACAGGGTTGGATGGAGAATGCTGGTGAGCGGCCTATGCTCCTTCACGAGGAGTAATAGGCGTAAGTAAGTAAGTAAGTAAATAGAAAACTGCTGAATAACTTTTGGTTGCAAAAACTATGGGAAATAATAGCATTTGATAGATGGAGAAAAATAATCTGAACATTTACATTATTGCCTAATATTTCTATTTGACTCAGTAAGAGTAGTTTTTATCTCCTAATAAGATGTTCAAGTCATTTATTTTAATTAGTCGTAATGAACTACTCAAAACTGTAGTAACTTGGCGATAGCACTGTTCTTTGAAAACTATGTACAATACTTTAGGTAACTGAATAGTACAATGACATTTGTTATTCTGACCTTATACGGAACCAAAACCACCCATGACTCCATAGATAAATGATATCAGATGTCCTGGTCCAGAAGATTAATGACAAAAACCAAGTCTACTACAAGATTATTTATAATCTTCGTTGACATTCATGAAGTGTACACAACAAATTACTAGCGTTTTCAACTGTTATAAGCAAACGATTAACCTTTTTCGAAGCTTGTTTGGGCATTTTTTTAGCTTCATGTGACTCTTAAAACATTTTATTCCGAAATCTCACGAAACTTAAACAGCCTCAAATTGTTGGTCCATTATTTGTCAGATACTGTTAAATAAAGGGATACAAGTGGATATTAAGAAATTATATTCAATGATGCGAACAAATTTCAAAAGCGGAAGACAAGCATAAGGTCAAGCACTTGTAAATCAAGTAAATTTTCATGAAACTATATTCCGAAAAATGTGTATATAGGCACCTTCAAGACATATATCTACTGCATTCATGTAACATGAATGAATTAACCGTACACTGCATCAGACTATACTAAACAAACACAATATATTATTTTAGAGAAATTGAAGCAGTGTAAATATATATGAATGTGTTATCAGACGTGTTAAGTTGTATTTACGCAATTTTTAATAGAAAGGATTTACAACGACAACGTTCACTAAAGCTATTATTACCAACATGAAACACAGTAATGACCTTGAAAGTGGATATAAAGATACGTTATACCAACACTAAGTATTCTTCTGGGAACAACA